ATAATAAAGGGAGAAACAAGGACAGAGGTGAAAAAGACAGACTGATATTGGAGGGAGCGAGATGTAAAGCAGCCAGACACCTTATCGCTAACGAACAACAGAAGGAGAGGAAAATATGGCGAGATGACAAGCAGAGATTAAAGACTCGGCTGTGCTGTCGGGGAGGAAACTGCAGAACAAGATGCAGAACACATTATCATAAATGCAGGTACAGAAAGTCAGATCAAAGTAGGAAATAAGGAGAGCATCTGCCCCATTTCACATGTTATATATATATATATAAGGAACAGACTGTAATTCAATAAAAACAAGCACAAGAGGAAATATAGGACAATTCTTCAATACCTGGATCAAACACAGCAGAATTTAAATATGAATACCTTTTAAGCAGCAGCAGATCCCTTCTATTGCAATAAATTAATGGAGGCCAAAAATGCAGGCTTTGTCCCTCTATATGTCTTTTCTTATCTCTCTCTATACACATCTCTTCCCCACCGCTTTCTCATCAAACATGCTCACACCATGCCTTCACACTTTCTGTTCCATCTGCCTTTTCTTTCATTCATTTGTATTATATTACAACAGTGCATTTTAATTAGCTAAATGTCACAAGTGGACCTCCTCTCTGTTTCAATTTAAGATATCAATCAGGGACAGTTTGCTCAGACCTGGGGTTTCTTTGACACACAAAATAAAACACCCTCACCCCGACACAGGTTCTCTGTTTTTCTCTCCACGGAAAAAACAATTCGAGAATCGTCCTGCATCTCGTTAAGTGTCTCTCATTAATGCCTTTTAATTGAAAGCTTATCTCTTGTCGTGTCGGTGCCAGCGCCGTGGCAACCGTGTCTGAGCCAGTTAGCGGCGTACGATAGAAGCGAGAAGGACAAAAAGGGAATGGAAGAGGACCAGTTTTATGAAGTAGAAACAGACAGACTGTGGCTGACTGCCTAAATCAGTCTCATTAAGTAACTTATTTATGCTAATGAGCTTTGGAGCCGCTATTTAGTAAGCTTCAGTTATCGAGGGACTGTTGACTGTGAGAGGAGAAAGAAGCGTCTGCTCAGTCACACCTGGGAGCTGCACAGCACAACACTAATAAGCTCTATGGCATGCCATCCATCTTGTGTATACACACTTAGAGCTCAGCGCGAAGACTCCTAGACTGCATTAATTGCAAAACTGAGAGGGATAAACAAGATGAACAACAGGCAGAGTTTATCTGTATCTTCACAGTTTAACAGTTTGTCTCCATATGCGTCCAAATGAAACTATCGCTAAGACGGATTGTCATTAAGAAAGCTTTTAAGGTAACATCTCTATTTTACACATGTCCACATCCCAACACTAAGGCATTCACCAAGATTGCATTTCAGTAGTCTTTGGCAAATTCCAGAAAGAAGTCAAATGGTAGATTATTAGGGAAGCTGCCCACTGCGCCAAATACTAGGATGGGTTAAAGAGGCCATATTATGTTTATGTTTTTGGGTTGCCCTTTCCTGTAGTGTGTTATATAGGTTTTTGTGAATGGTCTAAAAAAGACTCCTTTGTCACTTCCTGACCATAGTGACATCTCTATTGCGGCTTTCACACCAGCGCTTTTCCCGTTCTAGCTCCGTGAGCTTTTATGGTTCAGCTCCGGTATCCCTTTTCTGCTCCCGCTTTGTTCACACCACACAGAGCCGGGGTGGTACTGCGTCATTGCCTCATCGTTTGCGTCATGACGTAACCGTTTACGTGCCTGCTTCATAAAAGCCAAACCGCGCGGAAATCCCTCACATCAACAACAATGGCCGATTGTATTGAAGCGTTGTTCGCTTTGGTTATGCGTTGTGTACAAACTGGATAAAACGCGGGCATTTTGTTGTTGTTCAGGAGGTTGAACCCGCCCATGCCCCTGCCCCCGCCTCGACGTAAGCGGCGCCGCCTCTTAGCTCCGGAATCTTGCTTCTAGACCGACGATTTTTTGGAGCTGGAAAACGAACCGGATTCCGGAGCTAAGAGGCGGCGCCGCTGCGGTGTGAAGAGGAAAACACGGTACTTTTCAGGCTCTAGCTCCGAGCCGGCCCTGAAAACACGTTGGTGTGAAAGGGGCATATGTAACACTCGCGATTCTATTGGCTAGCGCTCCAACACATTGTACGTGATAGGCTAAGGTGCGGGACATCTCTAAGCAGGTTGACCAATCACAACAGAGCCGGCCAGCTAACCAATCAGAGCAGAGTGGGCTCTGGTTTCAGACAGAGGGTGAAAATAGGTGCTGCAGCACAGGCAGTATGAGAACAATAAAGAGCTTTTTGAACATTAAAGCATGGAGACATGTAGTAGAGACACTAAACCCTTAATTTGTCCTTGGGGATTAATAAAGTATGTCTTCTTCAATTCAAATCCTTTATTTCCATAATAGCCAACAATGTAACTACAACTTCTGGGTCCGCCAAAAGGATGTTTCTGTAGACGTATACTGGGGCGCCATAGATGTGAAGATAACCCGATGATCATGGTAAGTCGAGTCATTTTGGCTTCATGGCCAGTGAGCGACTTTAAAATGAATGAATGGGGGCTCTGTCTCCAATTCTGAATTCACTTCTCTCTATACATCTGAGATTGAGATACTGTTTAACTACAGGAACAATGAGAGTGCTTTTAGCTGGGTTTGTGGGAGGCATTGCTACAGGATTCATTACAACACTGTGCTAAAACCACAGCTGAATGATTACTATAAAATAATGCCACCTAATGGTTTTGATAGTCAACTATTCTATATATTTCCACTTCTAGAAACAGATTGAAGTAACATTTCTGATCTAAGTTTGCGTTAAATGTTAACTTTAATGAATGAGTCTCTTATTTAACAACACAGGTATGCTTAATGTTCTATATTTCTTCCTGGGAAATTCAATCGTAACTTCCCATGAGTCTCAGCAGCCATGGAAATGCAGGAAAAAACTGCTTTTTCAGAGCAGACACGAACCACTGTATTTGCAGATTTGCTCACAAACAAAAGTGGTGTTCATAATGATGTGTTTTAAGTAAGTTATTTTGGATTATGCAGGATGTCACCACCTGCTTTAATTGAGTATCTGTAGACACGTTACAGGCATTTTGTCTCATGTGCATCCACAGTGTTCAGGCTGAGGGAGGAGAGAGCGCTACTATTTCAGTGCCGCTCATTTCCCTCCTCCACACACTTAGACAGATGGTCTGGAGGTTTACTCGGGGTGGAAGAAGGCAAGAAATAGAATTGCAAATAGCTTCGCTCAAATTATTCTAAACTGGTGGAGCTCATTCCAAACACATTCCTAAACCCTTCATTTAACCAAGTTCAGAGTCTACAGACATGTGAGGGTTTACTCTGGCTTCACTACGCCCCCTTGTGGCTGCTCGTGGTAAACATGTTCATGTGTATAAGGTAGTAGACATAAACAAGTATGGACAATTTAAAACTCAGACATGATGATGGTGCTCAAGGAAAGGTCAGGGGATCAGAGTTTTTACAATTTTCTGTTATGTCCATGTTATGGATGTCTGACCTAAATGGCATGGTAAATACATCCAATAATTGATTAAGTCAATTTATGGTGGTGCTAGATAGCGATCAAGTCAAGAAACCATTTCAATCTTTAGGACTAGCAATCATGGACGTCTGTAAGTAATGTCATGGCAATCTTTCCAATAATTGGCTAGGAAAATAATCTGATTTAATTGAGAGTGTTGGACCAAGAGAACAATCACCATCCCTACAGCCACACCCAGAGGTGGAAGAAGTACTCAGATCCTACTTAAGCAAAAGTACGAAAGTGTTAGTACCCAAATATACTTAAATTACCAACACTGGAATGACTCCTTATGCAGAATGGCAACTTTCTGAAAAATATGTGGTATCACGGGATTATAATTGTGATTTATTCAATTTAAATCATTTTAATTTTGCAGCTAGTAAAGATGGAGCTCACCTTAATGAGTTTACAATGCCATGTATCTATTTATATATAGATAAACATTATATGAACCTGCAAAGTAACTACTAACTAAAGCTGTCAGATAAATGTAGTCGAGTAAAAAGTACAATATTTGAGTAGAAGCTAATGTAGCATGAAACAAGTTGCTTTAGGTTGTGGAACATGCATGTACTCAGGTATGGTATGGAGGGCGAGGAATTTCTAAATGAAAGGCTAAGTTCACTTACACACACGTTCAACCCCAATCCTGTAGGGTAAATGGTGGGTACGTGGATCACTGAACACAATCCGTGTCCTGCTCTCACACAGAGGGGAAGTACAGGGTGTTGGATTAGAGCCACGTAGCTACATAAGCTTTGAGGTTTCATTACATATGTATATCTCTTATTCTACTTCCCCCGTGGATTTAGGAAGCTATTTTAATAAATCCTATAGTCCGGATTCTCTTTGTCTGTAGGTGCCCCGGGGGTGAGCAAGAGACACCTTAAAGGTCCCCTATTTATACTGATTTTCATCAATATATTATAGCTCTCAGATATATCCAGAGCCTGTCTCTGATTGGCTGAAACACCAAACAGATCATTGCAGCATCCCATAATCCCCTCTGTTTCAGCCCTGTTTCAAAAGTGCTGATTCTCTGTCTGTTACTTTAGATGAAAATAAGGAGCCCCTCCCCACGCCCCTCTGAGAGATATTTGGTTAAAAAGAACACAATGGTGCTCTAGGAGGAGATTCAGGTGATAAGGTGGGGGGGGGGGGTTATCTTGGTTGCTGATTGGCTAATGGTTACACAAGCCAAAAAATCGTTATGACATCATAAAGTGGCCAAAATCTGATCAGCTGATTTTCAGACAGGTTTTTATATAAATGGATCAGGACAAAAAGAGAGAGAATCTTTGTTCCTGAAACTTTCAGAGACTCTTTACACAGAGGGGACACATGGTGATGTAGAAGAGACATGAGGAAGTGGATTTTGCATAATCGGTGACCTTTAAGCCAATCACAGCAGAGGAAAAGCAGACAGGTTTTATGACTCACCGTTGATAACCGGAGTGTAAACCACGATGCCAGCCAGATTTGGGTCGGACACCGTTTTGTCCAGGATCAGCCCACCGATGCTGCAGAACACAACATAATTAAATCATTAGCTGGTGACAATCAATAAAGCGGTTTGAAAACAACAGCCATTGCTCAGATGAATAAGTTGTAGCAGCGTTGAATAGATGCTGAGGTAAGAACTGCAATTTATTTATTTGTTTGTTCATTTATTTACAATGTTTTTAGACTACATTTGCTTTATTCATCCCAAATTGGGAAATTGCTTCGTCACAGCAGCAGAAAGTGAACACATGAATTACAAATATCATAAAATATAATAACATTAAAGGTAGGGTAGGTAAGAATGGAGAAACCAGCTTGAGTGTGCTAGAATTTGAAAGTACGCAGCCGAAAAAAATCTGCCCCTTCCTTCAGACTTCCTTACAGAGCCCCTCCTCCAACACACACGAACGCGCACATGACCAATGAGGGCACGAGATAAGTTTGTGCACGAGATGGAAGGCTGACAGGCAGGTAGGCCATCCAGTTATTTTAGCCGGGCCGGCTCAGATGATTGGTCGTGCTTTTTACAGCGCCACAGCTTCCACAGATGACATTTTGTTATGGATTTATTGTCAAAGCATTTAATGTATTCATTGCTATCGGGATGTTAAGAGCATTCCATGGAATATAATAACAAGTGTTTCTGAAGTGAATTACCTACCCCACCTTTAAGATAAACAGTAAATGTATAAATATCAACGGCAGAAGGGAAAATATCAATAGAGTATTATTTATTTATTAATCTACTTATTTATTTTGTATTTCTTTTTGTTTGTTCATGTTTGTCTTGGTGGTTTTTAATGTGATGGAGCATGGGGGACTTTTTTTTAATTAAAGCTTTGCCTGTAGTCTGTGTGCACGATGGATTCCTGGTCTTTCATCTGCAAAAACAAATCTACCTAAAAAGGTACAAATAATTAACCTGAAGCTGTAGAGTTTAAATTGTTTTAAGCTTATGTCGTCTACAGAAAATATCTCTATTGTTGTACTTAATAATAATAATAATAATAATAATAGCACTTTTCAAAAAAATCAACAACGCTTTGACAGAGAATAACACAAAGGTTGCCTCTTGTAAGCTATGCACACACTTCAGAGAGGTTTTAATGGTCACTTCTCTATAAAAAGAAAATGGAGAAAGGTGGCATCATCCACACTTGAGTGTTCAGAAGCAAACAATCCCTTCGTACTGTCTGCCAGGCTGAAGGCTTTCCGAGGGTGCTGCAATTTGTTTTGGGGATGAGTCATCAAGCAAACCAGACACTTGGAGCTGCAGAATAGCTGTTCTTTCCCCTTTGAAGACTAAACAAACACACACACACACACACACACACACAAACAAACACACACACACACAAACAAACACACACCTGCTAATGACCATGGCAGTGATGACTGGCTCCCATCCGGAGTACAGCAGGGTGCGGCTGGCCGGGTGTTTGGAGGAGATGACCATCCACAGAGGAGTCAGACACATGAAGAAGGCGCAGACCAGCCCCGACACATACGGGTACGTATCTGTGGAAGAGGAGGAGGATATAAATGACTTTGTCTTGATTTATTTGTTTCCTTTTTTAAGTGTGAGTTTGGAGCCCATCCAAGCATGCAGTAGGGAATTGGTAGGGTATAATGCATCATTGTTTAATGTTCACAAAATATAGTAGGGAAGTTTGTTTAAATGCATTCATTTAGTAACATGCTCCTTTTGGACTAGTTAAACAAACAAAATTACAGGACAGCTATTTAAAAAATTGTCTTAGGGGGCGTTACAGTGTCAGGGTATATGCAGGAATCCTGAAGTCAGATGTAAAACCTTTTAAGACCTTTTTTAAGACCCTTTCCATACATTTTAAGACCTCATCGCCACTTTGAGTTTTAACCGGTTACATTGGCGACACACTTTACCTCACATTGACTATATACAGTATTGATTGTCCTTCCTCCTTATCTTCCAATCATTTGGACGCAGACTTGCATTTCCCCATAACGATGTTGTTTAACAACCGGCGTAAACGGACCTTCGCGCGCTATCAAGCAGTGAGCGTGCGATGTCCTGTTCAGATGACGTCAAACCCAACGGGATGCCATAAATAAACTACACAGAATCACACTACACACCTACGCAATGATTACATTCAGGCAGACTGTAGAATACAACCTCTTTGGACAATTTATATACTTATTGAAAACAAGCTACAAAATGTAACACCTTGGAAAATGCCGTTTAATACTTTTTAATAACCTTCATTTTCGCTAAATTGATTTATCAACTTTTAATACTTTTGAAGACCCCGCGGACACCCTGAGTGTGTACAACATAAGACGCTCTCTGTCCTTAGACCCTTGCAGTGTACAAGGAAGAAACCCCAGAATAAATTGGGAAAACACCCAAAAGAAACCTGAAAGAAAATGAGGTAAATCCCCCCCCTAAAAAACCAGAATAAATGGTGAAAAATTCTCAGAGAAACCCCAGGCTGAATTGGGAAAAGTTCCTGAAGAAACCCCAGAATAAATTAAAAAAACTCCCCAAAGAATCAGAATGCGTAACATTGACAGCAAATCAGACATTCAGTTAGCATTCACAGAAAAAGCTGTCCATCAGCCGCGCTCTAATGAATTTCTTCTACAGGTTAAAGTGTTTACATGACCCTCATGACACCATGCATCGAGTGTCCCTGCGGCCGGGAATAAACCAATAGACGACAATTGATATTCCTGTCCATCTCTGGTGGAATACGCTGAGCTTAAAGGCTCTGCCAGGAAACAGAACGGAGCCGCTGCCAACTCCCTCCTCGAGCTGAGCAACTGAGAGACGCTTGTTAATGCATGGGGAAGAAATGATGGCGGTGATAAGTAACGCTAGCCTCCATGCTTCAAGACACAAGGGCATCCCATTCATACTTATATACAGGCAATATAAGATGAGTTTAAATTGTTTAATCATACTTAAGTTAAGTGAACTGGCACAGGCCCCTGATTTAAAGGTCACCTATCATGCTATTTTTAGGCAATAGCATAGGTCTCAGATATATACAAATATATAAAAAACATGTCTATGAAGTGTTTTGCTCAAAATACCAAACAGGAAACCCATTCTAGCCATGCCTCATATCCCTCTATTTCACTTCCTGTTTCAAAAGTGCTGATTTGGGGTATAAAGCTTTAAAAAGGAGGGGGCTGAGCTCATGCGGGACCCGGCAGCTACTGTCTAAACTAAATACTGCCGTGATGAAACGCCATATCATGGATTATCAAGGATTATTTCTGAAACAGTATGGAGCTCAAAGGCTTTCTCTCTTGCCGGTTATACCACAAGGCGAGTTCCTTTTGATTTCCTGCTTCTTCACACACATGCTCTCCAGTACAGGTTAGCTCTGAGTGTTAGCCATGCTAATGTAAACACCGACGTGATGAAACGCCATATCATGGATTATCAAGGATTATTTCTGAAACAGTATGGAGCTCAAAGGCTTTCTCTCTTGCCGGTTATACCACAAGGCGAGTTCCTTTTGATTTCCTGCTTCTTCACACACATGCTCTCCAGTACAGGTTAGCTCTGAGTGTTAGCCATGCTAATGTAAACACCGACCATATTACGTCCAAAACAGTCGGGCATTGTTTCTGATAGCAACGTTCTGATAGTGCCGTGGGTCCACATTTCAGATACTACGTCATATCGGACGCAAATCTGGATCAGCTCCGTTGTTCCCCCGTTTTTAGAGATTTGGGTGCGGAGGAAAAGAGAGAGGGTTTTATTTTCTGACGCTGCGTGAGTTCCCCGACACACCGGGGACACATGTTTATTTATGAAAGACATCAAAAAGTGCATTTTGCATGATAGGTCCCCTTTAAATTAAAGAAATTGTGGCAGGATTTGTGATATCAGCAAATAACTAATCATTGTCCAAATAATCAATACATTATTATATAATTATGAATCTAGTGACTTGCATTCCTAATTCTCAGGATGGATTTTGGTAAGTAACATCCAATTGCTAGGCTTTAGGCTAATCTAATCAATATTGTAATAATATTATATTTAAAAGGTCCCATGTCATGCTTTTCCGGTTATTACCCGTCCCCTTGTGTGTTATGAAGGTTTTTCTGCATGTAAACGGTCTGCAGAGTCACAAACCCTCAAAGTACACCCTGTAGCGAGTAAAACTCTAACACAGAAAATACCTGTCTATGCTGCCCCAGAACGCCTCGTTGGAGATTTCTCTTTTTCCATTTGTTTCTTCCGGGAACCAAAATGGACCAATCCGCGGAGCTCCTCACACACCAGGACCTTTAGCGTAAATGTTCAACTAACAGGGAGTCCCCATTGACTTGCATAGAGCTCCCTGGTTGGTAATAGACGAGTTGGGATGGTGGAGAAATGCTCTCCGCAGACCCATTCTCACAGCGTTATAAACCTTTTTCTTACTCAATATCAAGCCACACTTATTGTTTTTCCTTCGGCTGTGAGTGTTTGTGTGTGCTCAGGATGAAAATTGATATTTTAGGGCTGTTGACAGTATTTTCTGATTTATGGAGTGATAAAAAGAGATATCCAAAATCCCTTCTGTAAAAACTTTAGATTCTAATATGACTACAAAATGAAACAAGAATTTCAAACCTGACTTTATCCAATGTTCAGAAATGTGTTCCTGAAATGTATTAAGATATGCGCATATTTAATTAGTTATGGCTCATTTGCATGGGGCGGGGGGTGCCCCTACAAATAGAATCAAATTCTGTGCGAAACACTGGATAATAATAATACTAATAATAATAATGGGAACCCCTGGTCTACATCATGTATTCACCTCTCCTGTAGTCAGCCCTGAAATGGCCCGGTGTTGCCACATCCACAGGCACACGGCAGCTTTGGACCCGTTTCTTGGTGTCTCCGTCTCATTTGCTTTTATCTATTGTTGAGCCCTCTCACTGAAGCACTCTGAAACAGCAGTGTTTGTTAAAAGCATGTTATAAATAAACCTGCCGGGGCTCGTGCAGCTCCTGCGTCTCGCTGCTGTCTCAACTCCACTCAGCTTGTTTGTCTCAAAGTAAGAAGCATTAGAGGCATTAAGACTGTAAGAGCCATGATGTCAGAGAGGGGATTTATGGTGAACATTTTATAAGGTTTCTGATTGTTTATATTTCTGGCACTGGTCTTTTATTTTGTGATCAATTATGGGTTGGGTTACATGGGTATGGGCGGCACTAATAAATATAATCACATTTCACCTGTGTGAGGTGTGTGTGGAAGAGAGGGTCGCTGTATTTTATGTTGACCTTTTCATAGCTGGAATATCTGGAAAATATATATTTGTGCATCTTATAGTAAGTTGATCAGTTTTATTAAAGAATAAGATTTTGTTCAACGCATTTTTGGATCCCAGCATTAATTTTTGATAAGACAAAGGCAACCTCAGCCTCTCAGCGACTTTGTTTCTTCCTGATGTCGCTACAAAGTTCTTATCTACATAGATAATCATGTGGTTTAAATTCTGTGTATCTGACAGTTAGTTAGTTCTGATTCAGCAGGATAGTGTTGGCTTGGTTTAAGGACAACAGAGCCAGTGTCCTGAGAGTGACACACAGCCACTCCGTGCACTGCCTCGCACGGAAATAGGAAATCCTAAGTGTGTGTAGTACATTTAGCTAACAGCGCTGAATTGCTTCTCTCATTGTGGTGAACATCTGGGTCGTACACTTATAGCAGACAGGGTTAGTTATTCTGAGAGTCTTTCCAGAGGATGAATGCTGAATGAATGAGGTGATACAAGGTGGGTCTGGGTGTGTGAGATGAATCTAACGTTAGGAATGTGAAGTGAGAGGAGAAGAGACGGTCTGTTCTGTTCACAGGAGTGAGGCGCTGCTAAAGAGTGAGGCGGGGGGGACCTCTGCAGGCCGACTGAGGGAAGAGCCTCCCTGCAAGGCAAAGATCTGGGCTGAATGCCATTCTTAAATGAGAGAAGACGGACCTGATGAAGTGTACTCGCAAAATGCAGCTGTAACCCAGAATAAAGACAATTCAATCTGTGTCAAACCAACTATTGACAAACTTTCTGCGCAAAAAAACCCAAAATGAAGTTAAAAGCTTCACATATCTGGTAAATTAGAAGGACAATCTTTAAAGTAATCTCTATTTTTTCGGCAAACGCAGTCAACAGACATGCAGAGACGCCCCTCCTGATGGAGCTATAGGTTGCCTTTCACTTCAGCAGGTTTTTTTTTTAAAGGTAGAAGCAGGTCACCTACCCAGGCACTTGTAGAGGCCCTGGCTGATCCAGGCCAGGATCGCCAGAGTTATGAGGTCACCAAAACTGGCGGCGATGGGGGTGGCGACGTTGTCTGGGTTGATGCCCGTCTTCTTGGAACCCACAATGACCCCGACCATGATGAAACCTGAACAGGACACAACAAGAGTGGGGACTTTCAGAGGAAGAGCAAACTCAAGACCGACTTGAAACTGAATTTTATACTTATTTTATTGTAATTTTAGTCATTTATGTATTATTATTTTGTATAAGTATGTACAAATATATATTTATATTTGTTGGTATTAAGTGTACTTTTTAATCACAAAGCGATGTGTTACTCTGATTATGACCTGAGGCCTGTACTACGAAGCTGGTTCAACCTAACCTGGATATGTTTGAGTTAGCCGGTTGGCCCAATCCAAAACATACGCGCTCTGGCTAAGCTGTACTACGATGCTGGTTATCAAGTGGATCGCTCAAGCCAGCCGTGTCCTATCTAGTTAGGTGCGCGTTCACATGAAAGGGGTGGTATTTGGAGCATTCAACCAATCACAAACATGGACAAGCGTACTGACAGCGCAGCGTCATACTTCCTGAATGAAAAGTGAACTTTAATATTAGTCAAATATGAAGAAGTTAAACTTTAAACATCCATGTCTTAAACACTTTATCCAGGATAAAAGCCACATAGCTGCACCTGCAAGGTGAATACAGCTGGTAAAAGAAAAAGTGTTTGAATGCGTACATTAACAGGTTTATGATATCACTGCCCCGTCCAAGACACGAGTGGATCTGACTTTAATTACATTTGACTCGAGTCGAGTGTTAATGTGTTGCTTAAAATAATACTTCTGCATACAGTATGTGACACTGTGAGTGTTGCACGGCCAGATACGGCTCAAGAAGCTGACTCAAATAAGGAAATATATGATACATTATGATGTGATATGATATGAATGATAATGGGACACATCGACGTCTGCACTCACAGTGCCGCGGACTGTACTTAATGTTACTCTGATCCGGTTACTTATGTCGTGGCAGATATTTAAGTAAGCTTTCTTAACGCTAATGTTATAATAGTCAGATTGCTCTGAAGATGGGAGGGGATATTCTATTCATTTTCACGTTCACACAGTCGGTGATTTTTGCCGGCCGTCTTTCCTGCAACGGCAGTTTTTCTGTATTTCCTCTATCCTGTAATATGACTTGATCGCTTTAAACTCTGCACACGGAGCTCTGATTGGTCAGCAGGCGGTGCTTTCACTGAGTTGATCTCTTAGCCTGCCACCTAACCTGCTCCGGAGGAGGTTAGCCGCTCAGCATAAGTTACCATGGAGATCTAGCCCGCTAAAAAGAGAACCAGCGTCGTAGGACCGGAAAGCCCGAGTTTTCCCTGAAGTTAGCCGGCTAAGCGAACATCCAGCTTCGTAGTACAGGCCTCTGGAAAGGGAGAGCTAGTATTGTTTGTATTTGTAAATTGTGTATGTGTTTAGTTTGTGAAGCACTTTTACCGGCTTAGTGTATGAAAAGTGCTATATAAATAAAGTTTGACTTCATTTGACTAAATTATTCAAATTAACTTATATTTACACGAGACAAAGACAGTTTGGGAGGAGGACAGCAGTGTCACAGCGACAGAATCAACAGTTTACTTTACGATGTTGTAACAGCTGTAGCCACACTGTGTGTGTGTGTGTGTGTGTGCGAGTGCGTGTGTTTACCCTGCAGCATGGAGGCTATAAAGGCCGTGGCCACGCTGCTGGAGCACAGCAGCACCGCGTGGCTCATCTGGAACTTCCCCTCTGGGATCCAGCCGAGAGTCACGGCAGCGACGGCAGCCAGGAAGCCCACCACCGTGGCCTGGACCTGGGGGGAAAGAAGAGGGGAGAGGGAACGTTATCTAGTGGAGACAACAAGCACCACTACATGTGTCTTGTTATCTGAACATGGACTTGTATGAATTAATTCTCTTATTTGTTTTACTTTATTATTTTATTTTCACCCTGGAAATGGTTGTATGTATATGTGTACATATGTATGTGTATATAGAATTTTGTTTATCTGTGTGAGTATTTAATTACGGAATTATTTTATTATTTTCTTACTTTATCCTGCAACTGGACGACTAACTACCTCTGCATTCTGCCCTCCCACTTCTACTACTTTTGTTGGTTTTTTGGACGTGTAAACTGTTTAATTGTTGAAATAGTAGAATAAATAATAAAATAAAATAAAAAAACAGACTTAGGATTAGTAGAAGGGTTTCATTAGGGAGGTAAGGTGACATAAATACTGTAATTAACACCATTAACTCCTTTACGTAACACTTCCTGCTGACGTGGGCGTTGTTGTGAAACACATTGGACCAACAGCTCAGCAAAACCATATGAAGTTACATGCGTCATTGTGTCTTTATCAGTGTGTGTGGGTGGGTAGATGATTAAAAGGGAAGTTCTTACACAGACAGAGATCAATAAAACAGTCTGAGCGAACACCCACTCAGTTAGCATTACATGTACGTGTATCGAGAATATTACAGACGGTTATAACAACCATACACACTGGAATTAATGTATGTAAGATACATTAAGCCATTGTGTTTGATTATTCTCATGGCCACTAATCCGTAAAGTGTTTTCTAGCAACTGCTTTCATTTGGAAATGAAAATGTAATGGTGCATATTTTTTAAAAAGCTAATCAAAAATATGACAATTGTGAATTCATTCAGAAAAATGTGGTTGTAGTATTTATCCAGGGATGTGCATATAAATAGTTTCGGGAACATTTGTGTTTACCTGCTTCAGTGCCAGGTTGCCTATGATTAGATTCCACTTCTCTATGGGAGAATCCATCTTGCCCACATTCACCTGTGTAGGGGAAAAGAAGCAAACATTTATTAGAAACATTCCCTTTTCTATGCCTGCATATAAATTAGGGATGGGAATTTGAAAGCAAATGTATATTCGAATATTCGACCCCCAAAAAAACGGTTAACCGATTAACCGAAATCTACATATCCTATAAAAAAAAAAAAAATTGGGAAAAATGTTGACAAAAAAAATTATATATAATAAATACATGTTCAAAGAAGTATAGAAACCAAGTCGAATTTGTCAAATGTATTGAACTGGTGATCACAGTTTGAACAGTTGACAGCTATAGGCCTACAGCTTAATTCATGCTTAAAACATAACTTGGTTTTTAAATGAAAGAGGGATCATACACGAACAACATAACCGGTTAGGGTAACGTAACCCTATTACAACAGAGATCACCAACCTATAACAGGGCCTCTGCACAGAATGCAGCTATTCAATACCCATTCTTGTTTAAGAATATGAGCATGTGTCAGGGGAGAGGCGGGTGCGGAGGCGATTCACAATCAGGCCAGCTGTAAAGAAGACCCTCTCAGCTGGAATTTGGGCATAAGATGAGGTTTGAGTCTGCGTGATCTGCGTGTAGGGAGGGGCAGCAGCCATATCATTAGCTAGAACTAGCTAGCTCTGATGGATTTGGACATAAACGTGAGTGAAGAATAACCGGACGCGCAAGAGAGAGAGATCAGCACCTGCAGCTCTGCCCGCTGTGAGGGACCGGTGAGCGGAGCAAAACACACCTTTAGACCTAACACACTTAGCTATGGCACTGCCGTATACATTGAATTATTCCATTTGATCATATGTAA